AACCTCGTAATAACAAAAAAATAGAATGAAAATATCAAAAGGCTTCTCAATATATGGTTTATTTTTTTCATTTAAAGGGTAAACTTGTTATTTTAATACATTTAAATAAAATAAAATAAAAGGCATAAATAGCCTTGAGTGCTAAATCTAAAAAATTTAACTTGAAAGGTAATTAGGTTATTTTATTGTGATTAAAAAATTAGAAAAGAATCTTATATTCTTGGTCAATCATTTAATAACTAAAATACCATATAAAAAGATCATGATACCCCTAACACCAAGACATTTGATTTTTTTAGAAAAGGCAAAATAGTTAATGACTAAAATGCCATATAAAAAGATTATAATGCCCCTAACATCAAGGCATTTGATTTTTGTAGGAAAGGCAAAATAGTAATCATATTATAGTGATGAATATGAAAATGTGTTTATGGTCATTGTGAATTTGCCTTTTATTTTGGCTTTTTTGTTATATGGTTTTAAAGTGTTTATAAACCCAGTAGCTTTAAATGTATTTTTAAAATAAAAGTGTAGGTAGAAAACATATTAATAAATAATAGCAATTAATGAGACTTTAATCTACTTGTGCAAAATTGGGTCCAAAAACATAATTATTTTTATGTACAAAATCACTAGATAGGTGGACAATTTAAATCAACTCGAGTTAGTATATCAAATTTGTGATTCGGTTCGTAAGGTTGAGATAATCCTATAAAAGAAAATTAAAAATAAAATATGATATCAATTCCCAACAATTCAAATGAAGAAGAATGGTATTGAAAAAAAAAAACAAGATAACAAAAACCAATAAACCAAAGCAAGGCCACCAAACCTCGCGAGCTGACTCATACGAACAAGAAACCTTATAGAAGGAAAAACAGGAAAAAAAAAATGAAGTTGAATTCTCAAGCTGACTCAATGTTAAAGTATAAAAAAACATTTATTCGTGAAAAACAACTCAAAAAAAATACCCGAGTTGCCAGAGCTAACCTATCAAACCAAAAACCCAGCTGACGAGACCAAGATAACCTCTTATAAATAAAAGTGAAGAAAATCACAAAGCTTAATTTTCAAAAACCTAATGTTGAAGAATGAAACTGAAAAAGAAAATCGGTGTAAAAAAACTCTAAAAGAAGATTGATGTCAATTCAGGTTAATATTTCAAAGTCGTAATCAAGTTTGCGAGACCGTGATCACCTTATAAAAAAATCACAAAGTGCAATTCCTAACTAATTCAATATCAAATGGTAAAATTAAAAAAAAAGCTAAAATAAGGAGCTAAAAAAATAAAAATCAAATTTAAAATAAAAAAATAACAAAATAAATTTGTTTTTTGATATAGCATCACAAAATTTCAAGGAGAGGATACAAATAAGAGATAAGAGAAGGAAAAAAAATGGGTCTTCACGCGCCACCAACCATTCCATGCACTATTCCAACAAAAAGATCTTGTTACTTTGTTTCCAACACAATTGCTAATGGAGGTGTTCTACCACCAAAGGTAGCCGCATAAGTTGCAAAAATACGGAGGCAAGCCTCTACGTGATGGTATCTGTAACATACATGCCATCCAATTGGCGCTGTTTTTTTTTACTGTAGTCCACCATATTTATTATACTTTTAATTTTGATCCCTTAACATTCAATTGTTTCACATCAACATTATTATATTTTATTTTTCCAAATCGAGCGTCAACAATTTCCATTGACGTTGCGAGAACCCTGTATCTAGATAACAAAAATAAATAACCAAGTCAAATCCCCAAAAAGTCAATGTGAAAGGATTAAATAAGAAAAAAAAGTCAAGTGATTGAAAACAAAATCTTTCCTTGATCGTGCAAGTCAATCCTTGATGTTAGCAAATTAAAAGGATTTAAGATTTGTTTGATTTTTAATTTTGATCCTCATATCTTCAATTCTTTTAAATTGATGAAATTAAATTTGATTTTGTGAAACCAAGTATCAACTGAGCAACAAAGTATTCCCCTCAACACCACGAGATTCCCATACACTAACATAAAAATAACCTATAAAAATCAATTTCAAATCAACACAATATTAGAGGACCAAATAAGAAGAAAATAAATTGAGGGATCAAAATAAAAACAAAATTTAGATAAAAAAAAACTTTCAATGTGTGAATCCACAATAAAAACTCTAACATGATGCAGTAAATGATCCATGCCTCTTTTTTTTTAAGATGATTTTTTTATTTATTTCAAATGAGGTTTATTTGCATGTAATCTACATTAAAGCTTTGTTTGGTAATATGACCAACAACACACTTTAAAAATGCATTAAGACAGCTTCGTGATACAAGTCTATGGACTTATAAAACAAAGATTTCAATCCTTTTTTAAATCCAAAAATAGAAAAGAAAAGAAAAATTATATATACATCTAATAACATTATAATTACAAAACACATTATAATAGGCCTACAAATTTAAAAAAAATTAAAAAAAAATTGGGTTCCAATCTTTTTTTTATATATCTATGAGAGTATAAACTATATTTATTGAGTTATTCTTTTAAAGACAAAATCATAGACATTAAGAATCAAAATCATTATTGATGGTGGCTGAAATTAGGTTTGGAGAGCTTTACCTCTTCCTTTTCTTTTTCAAAGATTATATTTCATTTCTTAGCTTTTAAGGATTAAAATGTAAAACTTTAAAATAATAGAGACCATATAATGTGTAGACTTAAACTCTAGTGACCAAAATGAATCTTTTAATGTGAAAATGAAATAAAAAAAACTATGTTTTTTTCTTGTTTGTTTTGTTATCTATTATTTTAATATTGTAACTATAAACTTAAATTCTATTTTATGAAACTAATCTTTAATTTAATTGCACATTTTCTTAATACATTTTGTATACGTGAGTGAGGACATTTGAAGAGAAGTAAATCCTAGAATTTAAAACAATGGCAAGTAAAGAGAACTAAATTCTAGAATTTAAAACTATGTAATTTAGGTCCTATTTATTTGCAGGAAAATAATTTTTTTTAAAAAAATGAATTTGAAAAGGTAAATTCTAGGAAAGTGAATTATTTTCTGATATTTGATAGTGTAATAGAAAATATATTGAAAAACACTTTTCAGTATTTGGTTATGTCATGAAAAATGACTTGAAAAATAACTTATTAATGTTTTATTTTTCTCAAGTTTATTAAAATAATGAGGATCAAATCTTACAAAATAAAAAATTAAATGAGAATGAAATTGAAAAAACTATATTTCATAAATTATCTCAAATAAAGTAAATAATAATCAAAATAATAAAGATCAAATCT